ATACCTACCTTTTCCGGTTTGTCTGATTTGTCGTTGTGTTTTCTGACTTGTTAATTTGTTTTCGGATTTGTCGTTGTGTTTTCTGACTTATTTTGTTTTCGAATTTGTCATTGTGTTTTCTGACTTGTTATAATGTTTTCTGAATTGTGGTTGTGCTTTCTGAATTGTTATTTTGTTTTTTAGACTTGCATTTGCGTTTGTAATTTGTTATTTTGTTTTCAGAATTGTGATCTGCTTTGCACTTCTCGGTCACCGTAATTTCCGGATCACTACCAGAGCTACCGTCATTTCCTGCCATCAGTGCTCCAGTCACAGTCCAGTGTTGCCAAAACCGCCCTCCCACCGCGTCCAGTCCCGTTCGAACGAGCCGGCTCTAAGAGCCGATTCTTTGTAGCGAACGAGAAGAGCCGACTCCCATCGGGGAGAGCCGAATCTTCAACCAGAGCCTTCTATTTTAGGCCAATTTAGCAACTGTGAATGGTTTGTGTGTTGGTAAGCAATTTTTTTATTTAGTGTTTTCTTAAAAGCCTTATTTTTATGCATTTTTTCGTAAAAAAAAAAAAAAAAAGCATGCGGCTAATCACATGGGAGGACAGACTAGGATCATACAATTATGTGAAAGAAGGAATGGGGACACAAGCTCCGAAGACAGCGAGTGTAGTGGTAAAGGCCAGGTACAGAGCGACAGGGGAGCCGGATTTAGGCGCGTTGGTTAGGGTAGGAATAAAATACTGCATTGTTGCAACATCGGTCCCCTCAGAGAGAGTCTTCTCAAAAACAGGACAAATAATAACAGAAAGCAGAAATCGCATCAGCACATCCAAGATGAGGCATCTGATATTTCTGAATGCTAACCTACACTAGAAACTAAAGTGTTATTATTAAAGTTATATTAAAATGTTAAATAGTATCTGTGTACTTTTTGTAACGAAAAGAAAATGCAAAAAAATAAGGCTTTTATGAAAACACTAAATAAAAAATTGCTTACCAGCGCACAAACCATTCACAATTGCTAAACTGGGCTAAAATAGAAGGCTCAGAGTAATACTTAATAAAGAGCCATTTGAAAACCGTAAGAGACGGCTCTTCTAAGGGAGTCGAGCCAAAAGAGCCGAATCTTTGAAAATAGCCGAACTTCCCATCACTAGTTTGGATGGGAGAAGTTGAGTCTGAGATATAATGGCAAAAGGTGCAAACCGAATGCTGATAAACCGTCAATGGATAGAGGTAAGTCAGCTGTACCATGGTGTTGATTAACTTGAGTGCACTCCACCTGTGTTAATTAGGCTTAATAAAACATCATAATGTACAGTGTTGATCTAAATGCAAACTAGTTTCTTATTGAACGTACAGTTGTGTATTCACCCATGTTGAAAGGTTTTTGCTAAATTTTTTGCAAAATCGAATCATGTTGATTCAACCATGGTACCCGACGTTGATTCACCGAACAGCCGTTTTCAGTTTAACAAATTTTTTCCAGATTTGACAAAATACACTTGAAACAGCCATGTTAAAAACGTAAATAATGCATGCGTTTGATCGCGTGCATACAACCCATTTGGAAAATATGTTTAAAAAGAAAATGTTATTATCTCCTTCCTTTTTCTATACACCATTTAGCCTAAAATCCCAGCAATGATATAGGCTAAAGAATGCGACAAACCTTCAGAGAAATGAGATGTTATCCGCTTCTCAAAAGTGAAAGTAATTTCTCCTTAGCCCCTCCTGGGGTTCACATGCCATACTGTGGGATTGTTTTCCAGTGAGTTTTTATATAAATAGCCTACAGTCGGAAACTACTCTTTTATTTTTTTTTTCGGCAATCCCCTCCTCATTTTCTTGTGTATATGTTCAACCCGGAAACCTAGATTGTTCTATCCTTTGCCCATGTGTAGGCTATCAACAAGTGGACCATATAACTTTTGTCAAAGCTATCATTTATCACATGAATAAAGATATCAAATATCTTATATGTATATAGGCTACATATCCATACATATTCATACACTTTTTTTAAACACAATTCAATACTTCAATCACTTCTTGAAAGCTCAGCTTGGTATAGTGGTTGTAACAGTTGCAACATGGCTTTCTTCAATCAAGAATGAGATACAGTGATGATATTTATACTACACATACTCGATTAACCCCTCATCCTTACTGGAAGACAGCAGCCACATGTGATATATAATATCAGTAATAGGCTATACTGTATCTATATATATCTCAGTGGCGAGCGGTGACTTTTTTTAACCGGGTATGCTGAGTGCTAAGATTAACACCCCCCCATCTCTTTTAGGACACACTCAAAGAGGAAAACCGTGGCAGGTGTCGTTTTAAAAGTATGCACATTCCTACCCTATTTGTAAATTAAATTCATCTCCAATCCTTCTATCACTTCATTATCCATATTCGAATGCTAGAAAACAGCTGCTTTTCCAAGTAAAAACTGTCAAATAACATTTACATGTAGTTACGTTATGATACATATTCAGAGGCTGGGGAGATGGGGGAATTCCCCCACTCTATGTCTCTGCATCGACTGAATGATTTTTATTTTATTTTATTTATTTATTTATTCTTTTATTTGTATTCCCAGTTAAAACTCCCACCCGGGTGACACTACTCCAATAATAGACCATGCAGAATACAAAATAAATCAAATCAAATCAAATAATAATACCTTTAAAATATTGCCAAGTAACGCTGCAAACAACAATAATAACAGAGAAGGACTTTAACTGTAAGCGAGACAATAGCCTATACGGAAAACAAAGGTGTTGTTTCCTATTTTTTCCTGATGTTTATTTAAAATTTTATATACATTTTTATAAACCTTTTTTTTTATTATTTACCACTTAAGCACGTTGACAATAACGTCTTCAACATTGTCTATGAGCAGATATGTTTTTAGTGGACTTTCAAAATTTGCTTTGCTTGAGAAAGCATGAAAATATACAGTTGTGATGTTTTTTTTTTTTCATATGATTTAATTGAGTTAGTTTTGCATCAAACACAATGTAATTTTCAGCAATCGAGATCTGGCAGCAACAGCGCATTTTTCCACTTGGTCGAGTGCTTCGCGGACAGCTTACCTCGTGCATGAAATCAGCCGCACCCCAGCAAAACACTGAGAACGCGCTACAATCCTGACGTGTCATAACTATGAGCGGAGGCAAGAAAGCTGCGGAGAATCCACTCGCCCGGAAGCTACCGTAACTGATGTAGATTTACAGAAAATTACCATTGTTTTCTAATAAATAACTTTACATACTTATTCCCAACACTTTATTAAGCTTGAAGTCACATCTGAAATGACAAGGGATCAACTTATAATCATGTTTATATTAATTAGCCCATGAACTCATTCTCTCAGACGGCCTGTGTATGCGGTGCATTCACAGCTTATATGGACGGAACGCCACTGATATATATTTGCCTAGTAATTATTACTCTCAGTGTTGGGTAGGATTACTAATTACTTTAGTTATCAAAGTTTTCATTCCTTTGAGAATCCTTGTTTTGTGATTTGGCTCTTTATACTTTCAGTGTCCCAAGAGCAGCTGAAACAGCTTGTTAAATTTTGGGTTGGATGGGAGATACCCATGGCTAACATGAAAGTGGAGGTGGTTAGAGCGGAATATCCCACTTCATCCACATGCTTCCACACCCTTCGCTTACCTGGTTACTACAACAGTTTCAGAGAATTTAGTGTTCATTTAGACAACTGCATTGCCACAAATGACAGTGGATTTGGATTGTTGTAGAAAGTGGAAAGCTCTGAATTCACAAGTTATTTCATTAAATTTTCCATTAAATTACACTGTCTAATATAACGATTTATTCCTTGTGTTATGCTTTACCTTATAGAAAAATGACAGACCAGGGTGCATCTTCGCAGGTGAGTAAGTAAAAACCAAGGCTACCATGTTTTTTTTCTTTGGTGAATAGTAATTTTTATTGGGATAGCCTACTATAGTAAACTAAAGGTAATTTACAGCAGGCAATCTATAGTAGGTAATTTGCCTAGTAATTATTACTCTCAGTGTTGGGTAGGATTACTAATTACTTTAGTTATCTCAGTTTTCATTCCTTTGAGAATCCTTGTTTTGTGATTTGGCTCTTTATATTTTCAGTGTCCCAAGAGCAGCTGAAAAACAGCTTGTTAAATTTTGGGTTGGATGGGAGATAACCATGGCTAGCATGAAAGTGGAGGTGGTTCGAGCGGAATATCCCACTTCATCCATATGCTTCCGCACCCTTCGCTTACCTGGTTACTACAACAGTTTCAGAGAATTTAGTGTTCATTTAGACAACTAGTTCATTGCCACAAATGACAGTGGATTTGGATTGTTGTAGAATGGATGGGAGATACCCATGGCTAGCATGAAAGTGGTGGTGGTTCGAGCGGAATATCCCACTTCATCCACATGCTTCCGCACCCTTCGCTTACCTGGTTACTACAACATTTTCAGAGAATTTAGTGTTTATTTAGACAACTGCATTGCCACAAATGACAGTGGATTTGGATTGTTGTAGAAAGTGGAAAGCTCTGAATTCACAAGTTATTTCATTAAATTTTGTTTTCTATTGAATTGTAACTTAATAATTAAGATTCTAAACATTGTTGAATATCTAAGCATTCATCAGTTATTCATTGTTCCCTGATGTTGAAATGTTGGCTTTTATTGAAATGGTTTAGAGTTGTACTTGACATTTGAACTAATGTATTTACAATAAACATGATTAAAAACAAACATGAAGTTGTGTTTGTGATTGCATGGATAATTAGAGTTCATACTGATAACTCTACACATAGCCAATGCTGTGCATATAGTCCACTGCAGCTAAATATCTATCTATTCCCATGCATGTTGAGTGTCCCATTAGGTCCACAGCAGCACTAAGTCCAGCTAGGTCATCAGGTCTCAAAGGGCAGTCAGTCTCAGGGACATGGACACCACAGTTTGGATCACGGTATAAGACCGCTTCTTTCCCAATCAATCAAAGGGATCTGCAAATCCTGTAAGATAAGTAATCATTAATTTTCCTGCCACAAATGCATGCTTTTTCAACTATAATTCACAAATATTTACCTCAACATTGTTTTCTTCTGAGTTGTGCTGTAGACCCATGTGCCACAGTTGATTAGGAGTGATATTTTCTCTCAGTTGAAAGTGGGTGATTGTCCCAGCCTCTCTGAATAAATCAAGCTGGGCTTGCAGGCGGGGAATAAAAACATGATGGCAGCAGAAGAGATGAACACTACTGGACAGGTCAAGTAGACCATCCCCCTCCAGCTGGTGCAGCGCACTGTAGAAGCGGCATGTGACTGCTGTAAACACATCTCGCCAGAGACGCTCTATTCTGTTAAAAGCAAGCAAATTTCAGCATTTAGAATACTCCTGTCCAGAAACAACTTATTCCATCTGAATATTACTTGTAGCATGCCAATAAAAGGAAAAAATACTAATATATATATATATACAGTCAAACCAAAATTTATTCAGACACTTTCAACATTTCTCGCATTATCACAGTTTATTCGCTATACTTTAGAAAATGGTAATAAAATATGACAAGAACTCGAGTTAAACTGTATGTAATGAATTTGGTTGAATAGCTGTCAGCTGTTAAATTTAAGCACACAATTAGATAAAACCAATTTAGCTCAACCAATTACCAAGCAATGCTTAATTTTTTTAAGTCTGTGTTGTAAAACGGTCGCATTAGCAATTAAAGACAAACACTTAAGGAAAATATGGTCAGGTCAAAGTGTCAAATCAAATTTTTGGTCCCAAATCAATTTTACTGGTAGTCCACTGTATCCAGAATTTTGAGGTATAATATGTAAAAATTTACTTTATTTTGCTATCCTCACTTACATAAATGAACTATAGTGTCCTGCACTTACTTGTAAAAAAATATAAAAAATGATATCTGGTGATATATAATTTTTGGTTTGACTGTATATAGTTTGCAATATAATAGTATTGTTTTTATCAATAAGGGCAAAAATAGTGTCTGCTCCGCCATGGCCTCCTGAACTGTCTGATCCGCCATGGCACCCTAGTCTGCCTGCTCCACCATGGCCTCCTGAGTTCCCTGCTTCGCCATGGCTCCACGAGCTGCCTTCTCCGCCATGGCCCTCTGAGCTCCCTGCTCCGCCATGGCTCCCTGGACCGCCTGGTCCGCCCTGGAGGCCTTCCCTGTGTCCCAGTCCTGCACAAGCCTCCAGGGCGCCTTCTGGGAGGGAGGAGTAATATCAGTCCTGTGTTCCGTGTCTCGTGTTTTCCTCATAAGGGTCAATTTTTCGAAAAGCTGAATAAATAAGCTTTCCATTGATGTATGGTTTGTTAGGATAGGACAATATTTGGCCGAGATACAACTATTTGAAAATCTGGAATCTGAGGATGCAAAAAAATCTAAATATTGAGAAAATCGCCTTTAAAGTTGTCCAAATGAAGTTCTTAGCAATGCATATTACTAATCAAAAATTAAGTTTTAATATATTTACAGTAGTAAATTTACAAAATATCTTAATGGAACATGATCTATACTTAATATCCTAATAATTTTTGGCATAAAAGAAAAATCAATCATTTTGACCCATACAATCAAGCGTAGCGTTAGTTTTGGCAGGTCACGTTAGTCAAGCTCGCATCAGCTGACTCTCAGCTGATCCCCATCAACCTATGGGAATACGACACCTATCTAAGCATTCATATATAAGGTCCCTCAGTATTATCAGCAGTTTTCGCATTGCTCAATAGCTAATTACCCTCCTCCATCCCCAACTTCTCCTCTGTCAGTCGGGATTCAGCCTTCTGATTCT